GAGAGAGAAGAGAGAGAGAGAGAGAGAGAGAGAGAGAGAGAGAGAGAGAGAGAGAGAGAGAGAGAGATGAAAATACAAATACAAAGAAAATCTTGAAGATGGGCAGAGAAATAAGAAACATTATAGTAGGGCTGACTAATATCCCATCAGGAACCACATAAGCCAAAAAACAATCATGGCATCTCTAAAGTATTAAAAAGAATCCCTAGAACTGGCAAAGTCAGAATTCTGTGACTAATGAAAATATCTTTCCAAAATAAAAGTGAAAAAATTAAAAACCCAAATAAAACACACACACACACACATACACACACACACACACACACACACACACACACACATTCAAACAAGCGATAGCTGAAAGGATTCATTGCTGGAGACCTTTGTAAGAAAAAAAAATTAAAGAATTTTTTTTTAGACAAAAAGAATATGATACCAGGTGGGAATTTAAATTTATACAAAGGAATGAAGAGCAATGAAAATGGTACAAATGTGGACAAAATAAGATACCATCTTCTTAATCTTTATAAAAGGTATTGACTATCTAAAGCAAAAATCAGTAAGAATGTCCTGTGGGATATACAGCATTTGTAAACTAGAGCAGAGAATGGGAATGAAATGTATTGTTGCATATATACCTTTACTATTTTTTTTTGTTTGGTTTTTCAAGACAGGGTTTCTCTGGGTAGTCTTGGTGCCTGTCCCAGATCTTACTCTGTAGACTAGGCTGGTCTTGAACTCACAGAGATCTGCCTGGCTCTGCCTCCCGAGTGCTGGGATTAAAGGCATGCGCCACCCGGCTACCTTTACTATTAAGTATTATGTAAAGTACATTAGGGTGAGAAAAAGTTTATACGTCTCACTACTACACTAAAAAGATGAAGCAAAACTCAGAGCTATAATTACTAAGTCATTGTTAATAGAAACAAAAGGAGCTAAAACAATCCATAAGAAGGTAGAGAAACAAGGAAAGATTATCAAGGATAGAATACTCAAGAATATAGAAAATTACACTAAATGCCAATAGTCTAAACATAATATAAAAACAGAAATTATTAGCTTAAGCATTAAAAAGAGCCAGGTACAATGGTGTACATTTGTAATCCCAGTCATTCAGGAGGCTGAGACAAGAAGATCCTTTGAATACAGGTATTTGAGGACAGACTGGATAACATAGTAAGACTGTCAGACAAAAGGAGCTAGAAAGGGAGATCAAGATAGAGATAGAGAGAGAAAGAGATTAAAATACTCTTTCTATAGAAATATACTTCAGGGCTGGCAAGATGGTTCAGTGGGTAAAGACACTTGTACATGGAGAGAACCAACAGCTGCCAGCTGTCCTCCGACCTCCAAATGCATATTGTGGGATGCAAGCACCTCCCACCCACTGCTACCTCTCCCCCCCCCAAAAAATGTAAAAAATTTAAATACAAAATGTACACTTTAAATAAAAAGACATTAAAGTAAGTTAAATGGATACTTATACCATAATGCAAAGTTTGAATCAAAGGAAAGAAGGAATGATTATATTAATTAAGACAACATCAATTTCAGAAGTCAGAATATTATCAGATAGCTTCCATGGGGGCTGCAAAATATTTTATTTCTAGTAGTCACAGAACCAATACTGGTAAAATAACAATAATTATATTATTAAAACTCGACATAAATTTTAATCATATGGGCTGCAGAATTATAACATTAATTGAATTGCCAGCTAAGGTATATGGTACTGTAAAGGACCCTGAATTTAGAATGAGGACATTAGAGTGACCTAAGAAAGAGTCCCAAGCCCCTGATCCGCCTTGAAATTCTCTTATCATTTGAAAACAGTTTGTCCTGTGTTTGATACTAGATCTCTTAAGCTGAAAACATTGTAATAATTTCATCTGCCTGGCAAGAAGCCTGTTTTCCTTATGATCTACCCCAACCACCTCTTCCACGCTAGAAAATCTGTAGCTAAAGTGGACTTTAAGCTCTTCCATCAGGGTCAATGCAAAGTAAGACAAGGAGGATAGCCTTGACAGAAAAAGAATTTTACTATTTGCTTATACCCAGGGAAAATGTGTGGGACCATATTAAAAGGAGTTAAAGCAAGAAAGACATTATAATTAGCTGGACTTGACAGATTTACTGATAGGAGTCCAATAATCAGCTAAATTAGACAATAGATTTAATGTGTTAAAAGCAGCTAGAAGTGTCACTAACCATTTCCATGTTTGTTCACTGAAATTTGTACTCCACAGTAGCCTATGTCTAATTAAGTTGAGATACTGGAACCTCCTTGGTATAGAGAAAGTCCCAAGGCTTAGAAGAATAGACATATTGAAACAGGTTTATTATATATGATCTGTACATCTCACTTCCCTTCTTCCAACTCTGTACATCACCAAGAGGATTCAGGGGCCATCCCATTACTAAGGTGTTGTGTGACCTTTCCTGGGAAGAAGACATGAAGAACAAAATGTCTGTTCACCACAGACAGGATACTGATTGACAGACCAAAGGAAAGATTTCAAGTTGTGCTGGCTAGTTTTATGTCAACTTGACACCAGCTAGAGTCATTTTGGAATAAGAGACCTCAATTGAGAAAATGCCTCCACCAGATTGGCTTATGGCCGGCCTGTGGTACATTTTCTTGATTGTGATTGATGTGGCGGGGGGGGGGGGGGGGGGGGCTCACATGGGTGTTGCCATCTCTGGGCTGGTGATCTTGGGTGCTATAAGAAAGCAGGCCGGGCAAGCCACGAGGAACAAGGCAATAAGCAGCCCTTCTCCGTGGCTTCTGCTTCAGTTTCTGCTTCCAGGTTCCAGCCCTGACTTCCCTTAATGATAGACTGTGATGGGGATGTGTAAGCCAAGTAAACCCCTTCCTTCCTAAGTTGCTATTGGTCATAGTGTTTATCATAAGAGGAAATAAACTAGAACAAACAACATGGATGAGAGATGCAACCTCTTTTAGTCCTTCATAATCCA